TCTTTGTTTGTTATATGTATTTACTTCCTTTAACTTTTACTTGGACTCAGTCAGCTTATATCCTTGTTTGCTCTGTTTACTTTCACTGCATGGCTTCACTCTCATTCTTGTAACTTTGTTGGTATTGGAAGCCGGAAACACTCTGGATGGACCCAAGTTTATAAGCTGTAGTAAATTGTGCAGTTAATCTACTACTTCAGCCTGGTATATAGCAAATTACATAACAAACTTAAATGTTTGGATTTACGGGATTAAAATGGCTTGAATACTCGCAAAAGCTTCAGAAACCAAAGAATTATTTTACCATACTGTTGCTCTTGGTAATCTAAATTACTGGAGTCTGATGACACTGTCGCAAGTTGAAAGCTTTCTGTTTTGGAGCAACCTGCATTTGGGTTGTTGTCTAGAGCTAGTAGCTGTAGTCAGGGCTTGGGCTTTTACTGTGTCTTTTATTCTAAAAACTTTTATGAGACAATTATAAGCATGTTTGTGTCTACATTCTACTACCCTCAAAGCCAATCCAACAGCGTGCAAGGCGATGCCTAATTGTACCCTGTCCCTCGTCCAACACGAAGTTAGCTCTAGCAAACTCTGTACTTTTAAATAATGGATTCAGATCAGTGATCCCATAATCAAGAGCCTGTAATAAATATCAAATAGCTCAATCAGCCAATACTCGAGTGAATCTAAGACTGAAAGTAACAATGGTCATTGAAAGCAGTGCATGTACAATAACTTTTCAAGTAGAGGAAACTAATTCAACTGTACCTTGCTTTGCAGTTCTTCCACTTTTACGTCTATATGAGTGAGATTTGCAGTAGAACCAGATACAATTTCTTCCAAGTGCAATGCATCCTTCACAAGTCCACGCAGAAGGTGCAAAACAATAGCATTGAAATCCATTTTGAATATCATGTAATTTTTGAAGCTCTGCAGAAAAACCCATCATTTTCTATGTTTTAATGTTTGTGGTTAGTATGCTAAGATATTATACTGTTGAAGTGGAGAAATACTACACTAACGAGAAAATATGAGCCCAAGCAGATTAATTTGATCTCTGAGAACATCAGACAGTGGAGTTAGGAAAAGTAGCAAGAATCTGGAATGGGCTGAGCAAATGAAACTGGTCTAAACTACTATTTTTTTTTTGTGTTATGGTTTAATGCGATAGCATCTAGAACAAAATACAAGTAAAGAGTTCAATAAAAAAATTGGACCAACTGCAGATCCCTTTTGCAACGCTTTTTGCACACCAAATTTTTAGGTTGAAATGAACGAGTCCAGCAGAACACGAATAGCCATGTCCACGTCCTGTTGAGTGACATGCTATTTAAGATGCATTCTTACATGGGCTTCAGACATCCGTATCATTGATTCTATGTGCCTCACTGCAATAGGAACTCCTTGTCCATGCTAGATAAGTACGAAAAACAGAAAAGAGGCATGAATCATTAATCAGTTCATAGAACTATCGGAAGTTTTTTGAAAAGGCCATAACCACACAATATTAAAACAAGATACAAAAGAATCCATCACAACAATAAGTAAACGTTGCAGAAATTAAAATGGA